GAAATTCAAGGAATTTCGACCCAAAAACCCCCAAAAAATCGACCCAAAACCCCAGGAAATCGACCTAAAAACCCCAGAAATTCGACCCAAAACCCCCATAAATTCGGCCAAAAAAAACCCCACAAATTCAACCCCCAAACCGCAATGTTGACAACACCCATAATAGGAAAAAATTCAGGTTTACAAACCCCCAATTTCGAGCAAAAAAACAAAAAAAAACCCTAAGAAACCCCAGGAATTTGAGCAAATTCGATTATGGGCAAATACGAGCAATTTCGAGCAAAAAAATCGAATTAATACCCCAGGAATTCGTTGAGTGAATTACTACCTTTATAATTGAATTTTTGAGTGAATTACTTGATTAATCTTGCCCCCCCCCCAAATCTGAGGATGGACGAGAAAATTACAGCCTTTATAATTGAAGTTCGATTAGTGTAGCAGTTCGACCAGTGTTCGCCCAAATCAACTGCATTTAGGCTCGACATTGTTGAATTTGTGAAGTCAATTTCATCTAAGGTAAGATTGCTTCTATTTATGTTCAATATTTTCATTTTCTCAAAAAAAAAAAAAATTTCACAGAATATTGGGTTAATATATGTAATTTTATTTGTAGATAGAATTAATTAGAAATTTTTTTATAGTGTGATTGAATATCGTTGGTTTAATATATGTAATTTTATTTGTAGATAGAATTAATTAGAAAATATTTTGTAGTATGATTGAATATTGTTGGTTTAATATATGTAATTTTATTTGTAGATAGAATTAATTAGAAAATATTTTATAGTATGATTGAATATTGTTGGTTTAATATATGTAATTTTATTTCTAGATAGAATTAATTAGAAAATATTTTATAGTATGATTGAATATTGTTGGTTTAATATATGTAATTTTATATGGCAGATTCTTAATTATGCGGAAGTGAATTCCACAAGTTGCTCGAGGTTCTGGTTGTGGACAAACGATTAAGGCGGTAGTACACATACGAGATTGTCTTCACTTGTGGTATATATATGAACCATTCTTTGTATTAACTTATTTTTTTGTGGTTGGTATAATGATTGTGAATTTTATGAGATTTTTAATTGTGATATAATTGATTGGAATTGCAATAATACTTTCATCATTGGCTTAGATACCCGTTCAGGGCTTACTCATTAGGAGTAAGTCTTGAATAGTCCCCGATTTGGGACTGTTCTTGAATGTTCTACCTCATTTAGGTGATAACTACTTGAACTGTTTTTGGGTCTAAGAATGTTCTATCTCATTACTTGAACTGTTTTTGAATAGCAATTTAATTCAACTTATATATATATTACATGTAGTGTCCTCAACAATTGGGTGGACGTGAGTGTGGCTACTACGTCAAGCGTTATATGTACGAAATACTTGAACATCATGATAGCAGTGAGGATCTTATTAAGGTATAAGTTGTCAAATATTTCATTTTTGTTTGATAAATACAATTTGATGTTAGCTACAATCTTGAATTAAAACTTTCCTCTTGTATATTTGTTGTGTTGATAGGATTTTTCAAGAACTACACCGTATACCGAGGAGGAGATAAATGAGATTCAAGATATTTGGGCAGAGTATTTTATATGTAATGTTGAACTTTAGATTTACACTTAGCGCATGTTGGACTCTTGTTTTGGATTATAGGCTTGACATGAATGATTTTGGTTAATTGGTGTTGGGATGATGAGTATTATGTCAATGATATTGAGATGTAAATTATTGGACAGGTTGTTAATATAATGTCGTCATTCCCAAATTTATGGGTAGGCCAAAATACAAAGGAGACTCTGCCGAAATTTACATTTGCATTAATTAATATTGCATTTTAATTTCAATTATTGGCGTTAGCATATGACTTTATACCACTACCAAGGAAAACAGGTACTACAAACATATACAAGCAATTATTATAATTATAAAAAAATTCACATCATTTGCGTCACTCATTAAACAAACAAGTGACGCAAATAAAGCAATTTTGTATTGTCTAGTAAGTCATTTGCGTCACTCCTATATAAACAAGTGACGCAAATTACAAACAACAAGTTGCTCAGAAAAGCTATTTGCGTCACTTGTTTATAAAGGAGCAACGCAAATAACTCTTATTTGCATCACTTGTTTATATAAAAGAGACGCAAATGACTCTTATTTGCATCGCGCCTAGGAGCGGCGCAAATGATTTAAAAGTCATTTGTGTCGTGAGCAGTTGTGTCGCTCATAGAAGCGACACAAATACACTATAAATGAGCGACGCAAATGAGCCTTTTTCTACTAGTGAGTACTTATAACACCATGAATAGTAGTAGTACTTATTTTAGTATGTAGTAGTAGTAGTAGTAGTAGTAGTAGTATTAGTAGTAGTAGTAATATGTATAGTGTAATTGTTTGATATGATTTAATCAAGATAATAATAACAATACTTTATAATGATAGATTATCATTAGTATGTATGTAATACTAGTAGTGTACAATAGTAGTAATATGACTCAAAATGAAGAACATCAACAACAACAACAATGTAGTATCAAAACAAGGTTGGAAGCTTAGATAATCAAGCAAGGAGGAAGGTGGAGGAACTACCTATGGGTGGTAGCGGCGGCAGTTGTAGGAGGGCTGCAGCAAAGTGGTCGGAGTGGTGGTGGTCGTGGAGTTCACGGCCAAAGAGGAAGAAAGAGGAATTAAAGGAAGAATTAGAAAGGAGAAGATGGAAGACGAAGAGAGTAATTTGGGGAAGATGAATATGGGAAGTGTGACTTATTTTCATGGATATTTATAGCCTCAATTAGGCACTATTTCAGCTGTCTCCATTAATGGAAGAATAAGTGGGAACCTCGGTTCCATTTTTGCCGACATGAAGAGGTTCTAAAAGCAAGAAAACGAGTTTCTGTTCAGCAGCCATAACTTTTGATCTATAGTATCAAACAACAATCACACCGTTGAAATTGAAGATTGGGATGTTCCAAACAAGCTGTCAAAATTTCAACAAAATCGGACCACGGATGGATCTTGATCAGAGGTGTTTTCCGAGACTGTTCAAGTTTGGGACGAAAATAAAGATGAATGGTGTATGAGGGAGCTACGTGGAGCAATTTGTGTGGAAGTTAAGAGTTGATTTTAGCAAATAGGATATTAAATACTTTTGGAACTTTGTAGTATGACTCAGGAACAAAATATTTGGCTCGGGAACAAAGAGCTTAAGGTAGAAAATCCGGTTTTCGGGCACGATAACTTTAACTTGATTAGTATAATTAAACTTATTATAAAACGTAATTATAAAATTGTCATTTGTATATAATAAACTATTTTGTACAATAACGTAATATTTGAAATATCTCGAATTCAAATTAGTAAACGGGTTTAAAATACGGGGTATTACACTATCTCACGACTATCTCTCTCCTCCCCTCATTTGTACGCCCGGCCACCCTTGGTGGCACATATGGTGGTTCGTGGTGGTTCATGGTGGTTCGTTGCTCGCTCTTCTCCGTAGAAGGTCAATTGAAGGGTTCAATTGCAACTAACTAGCATTAGTGGAGGTCTTAATCTGTGCCCGTGGACCAAGTAGAGGAATCACGCTTGGGGTTCTTTATCTTCAATTGTTCTTGCTCGATCGCACGTGTAATCACGCTTCAAATGTACGATTATATGTTCTTTATGAGTTATGCATTAGATCTTGGGATTAGGTACTGTATGAATATGATTCATGTTTATTTCCGCTGCGTAGTACCTATAATCTCCTACAGTAGATAGGTAATTGTGTTGTCTATATTCATCCATTTCATGAACCATATATATATATGCATCATGTAAACAATGTAACCTAAATGGACAATGAAGAGTCCATTTGTGAAGAGTTACAATGTGAACTAAAGGCATATGGAGGTTACAAATGAAGTTACAAAGACACTTAAGATAGTCATAATAAAAAGATAGTTACAAGCTATAATGGGCATACATTATTATTTGTAACAATTTTTTATTTATAAAAAAGGTCACTAGATAAGCCTTTTTTGTTTGTTTTTTTTGTTTGTTTTTTTTTTTCTTTTTTTTTTTTAATCCTTACGACTTGTTTATAAACCATTTATACCTAGATAATGACCAGTTAGGCCAAGGCCTTGTTTTCTTCACTTTTGGATGTTGTTGTGATCGTGTTAAGCTACATTATTGATTTTTCCAGAGAAAAAAGATATAGATTTAGAAATTTCAACAATCGGCACACCTTTAATGCTGGTAAGGCCGTCCATGGTATTCAATCTCCAGTATATCGACCTATAAGATCCCTGAGATCAACCTGCTAGTTGGTTGGTTTGGTTATCATTTACTATTGAAGGGAGTTAGTTTTCTACGAGAGTCACTTATTTTTAGGTTTCGTTGGGAGATATGACATTCTCATTACTCCATAAAATATAAGTTGGTCGTACATTGTTGTTAGTTTTGTTTGGCGTCTTCCCAGGCTTGCTTTATAACTTGATACTCAGTGGAGGCTTGTTCGAGTTTGTCGCCTTAGAAGTAGGGGGAGCCGAAATGCCTCCCCAGGTCAAATCCCAGCCGCACACCACCTTGATTTCATTGCTAAGTACAAATTCATATCACTTTATGAACCAATTTTACCTAAAATCTTCCGAAATAGTAATGCAATTCAGGTTAGATATACTATCTTCGTGAAATGTTTTCTGCAACTTTGGAGGACTTTACGGTTTACGATGCAAAATTTGATAATGTGATTAATGTATTCTAGGGGTATGTAGTTAAGGTGGAAAGAGAATGTTTGGATAATTAATCAACCACTCACTGCCACCACCAAGACCAGTCAACAGTCTAACACCGCCTTCACCAACACCACAACCGCCTTCACCAACACCACCGCCGCCTTCAACGCCGACTTCACCACCAACACTACCAACCCACGAAACCAACTCCACTACCAACCCCACGAAACCACCACCACTACCAAGCCTCATGTAACCACCACCACTACCAACCCCCACAAAACCACCACGAAAATCAAAACCCACCCACGAAAATCAAATCCCACCCACGACAACTAAAACCCATAAAATCCAGCCCACGACAATCAAAACCCATAAAATCCCACCCCACGAAAAACAAAACCCAGAAAATCCAACCCACCATTCTCACGAAACCCCCCATAGAGAGAGAAAGAAGATCTAAAAAAGATGAAGAGAGATAATGATATTGAAAGAGCAGAGAGAAAATATGGGGGAATGATGATGTAGGTGAATGATGATGTAGGTGAATGTAGATGGTTTGGGTTTCTTGAGTTGAAGATGAAGAGTTGATGAATTAGATTGGGAGAGAAATTAGTAATTAATTAAATCTGATTATAGTAATTGTGTTTTAATTTTTTTTAATGAGGGTAAAATTGACATTTAACTAGTATTTTTTTACTTCAAAAAAAAAAGAAAAAATTTTAATTGCACATAATACTTAGCGGACAAAAATAATAAAAGTTACAAAAACCATTTAACGAAGACCTAAATAACTTTCACCCCTTAAACCCAATTTTAAAAAGCGAGGTACTTGCAAAAACCAAAACGGAAAGAGCACCAATCTAGTAATTCGAGCTAATACCAAAGAGCCCATCCTTGTCGGAAGCATAGAACAAGAAGAAGAATGAAAAAGGATTCGATTTTAAACCCTTTTCTGGGTCAGTGAACTAAACAGCAAAAGTTGCATATACTCAACTTCCAACTCAAACCAAATCTTTTTCTTTTTTTTTTTTTTTTTTTAGTACTTTCCCTTAAAAAAAAACAGAAATTGCTATTGCTTCTTCAGTATATTCAAACACGTCATTCTTCTTCTTCTTTTCTCTCTCCTTTTCATAATTAAACGCTAAAAACCTAAATTTAATTCTTAAAACCTAAATTGAAAGAGGGGTTTTTGTTTGATTTCATGATTTTAGAAATTATTTGGTGAAATGGGTAAATGGGATCGACGCTATTATGCTCGACCAAGGCGCCGTTATTATCAAGATTATCAATGGTCTCCTCCCAGAGATGAACCTTGCCCTGACCCTGAAACTGGTATCTTTCTCTCCTTCCTTTTTTTTTTGATTTTTTTCGAAAGATTTCTTGAATTTTCTTGAGATTTACGACCAATTTTGAACTGGGTTTATTGGGTTTTTTGAATTTTTGAATTTGATTTGAAATTTTCTATCTTTATGCTAATAATTGGTTTTATGGGGGAAATATAATGAAGGAAATAATTTGGGACATTTGGAAAGAGGAAAATGGGGTAAATAATTTGAGATGGATGGAGTGTGACGATTACGGGTAAAGGATGTAATGGGACATCATATTAGTAGGGGTATGAAGTAGAATGCTATTGGATTGGATGATTGTTATTTTTTAAATTGATTCAAATGAGCTGTGATTGGATGTGAATTTTAGGAATTTGCCAACATTGTGTAATTTATTTGAGATTGGTTGAAAAAAATATATAAATGTAGGGCGATTATCATTGGGCAATTATAGCTTCAACATTTTCTTGGAATTGGCAGGATTGATTTGTGTACTTGTGTAGTGTTGTGATAAACCCTTAAATCAGCGTCCTATAGTGTTTAAGTAGGTTGATTTGTTATTGGTGATTTTGAAATTGGCTCTATGAGAACGTGTAGAAATGGAAAGATTGTGTTTGCTCATATTTTACTTTGTCTTGGACATCGGTTTTCTATGTTTTTTTGTTGGTTGAATGATGGCATTCGTTTAACTTGCTAAACTTGTCCTAATAGATAACCGGTCGGTATGTTTTCTATCACTTTCTGTTCACATTCAAAACTCTAGTTGTTGAGCAGTTGTGTTCTTGTGAAGAATTCAAGGAGTTGCGTTCTTGTGATAGAAAAAAAAGGGAGTAATGAGAGTTAAAGCCGGGGGGATGAAATTTCATCCGGATGTTGAGTATAGACAAGATTTTCGAAAACTATAAATTTGTGGATCCAATGTATACAATATTATAATTTTTTTATATTGGTAGAATGGGGAAAAAGATTAATTAGTTTTATGGTCCAACAACGTTAGAGAAATCTTGGAGTTGATATTCCCACATATGATAGTGCCAAAATTCAGATCAGCCTTTAGATATTAACCGATTTAGCAGATGATAAATACCTAAATGGTACATCTTGTTCAATTTAGATTTTTGCCTTTGTTTAGTTAGTTCATTTATCATAGTGCTTGTTCATCATGTTGATTAGTTGTATACTTCTATACTGATGTTGTGATCAGGTTTCCGGATATATTTTGGCCTTGATTTTTAATGTGTAATCAATTTATTAAGTACGCCTCTAAATGAACATCATATTAATTATTTTATATATAGCATTAATCTGAATTAAGGTATTAATTTCTTTGAAAGCATATCGGATGAGATCATCCTGTCAGTGTATTTTCTGTTTCCTGATCTTTGACTTGCTAATATTTTTAAAGGCTAATGTACTGGACTAGAAAATTAATCACTCAAAAAAAAAAAAAAAAAAAAAAAGAAAGAAAAAAAAAAAAAAACCAAGGGTGTTATACTTCCATATTTTGACTTGCTTTTATCTAAATTGTGTGTTTCCTTAACCTCAGTTGCTGCTTATATGGGTGCCGGTCTTGAACTTATATTAACATTGCTTATGTCTGTTGAGACCTTAAAATGAGAATAAGTTAAGGTTGTTTTGTTATGTATTGGCTGTTCAGTTATGTGTAATTTATTATTTGTGACATGAGTTATGGACTGTTGTTTTACCAAATTATTCCTTATAATTCGGTTTTAAAATTGCTCTGCAATGACACATTTTAATTCTTGTACTAAGATTAACCCATATCTAAATCACTGTAGATGTCGAACACCCTTTATCTCTACACAATATATCAAGATAATTTTTTTAAAACTACAATTTATTTAGGCTAAAATTATAAAGAATATTCCGGAACTCTTGAAGTACAATGTGAATGTGAACCCTTTGTTCTTTCAATTCATGCTGTGGTGGCCGTAAACTGCATGATAACACCTGCAAGATGCTTTTTTCCTTGACATCACAACAGTCACAGTGATTTTGATTGTAATTTTTTTTCAGTGATCAAGAGTGATTGTGTCAAAGACTTTACGAACTTAAGGAGGGATTTAGGACAGTGAGACAAGATATTTCCCATTAGGTTACCTTATGCATGTATGTGCATGTTTCCATTGTTGTTTCTGTGTAGATTTTACTTACTCATTCCGGTGTATATTTGTCTCATCTGGAATCTTCCATCTGAATAGAAAAACAAGGCAAATGTTGGGGGGGAGTCAGATAAGATATTTCCCATTAGGTTGTGCATGTTTCCATTGTTGTTTCTGTGTAGATATTACTTACTCATTCCGGTTTATATTTGTCCCATCTGGAATCTTCCATCTGAATAGAAAAACAAGGCAAATGTTGGGGGGGGGGGAGTGAGAGGGTGGATGAAGTTATTACTTTTATTAAATTCGTTGAATTTATTCAAATTATCTTGGATATTGCATGTATATGTCGCTTAACCTTTCTATATGTCAGAGGTTTGGCAGGATAATGTGCCGATGTGGGAAAAAAAGTTTTGCTATATGGTGGGACGGATGCCATGGAAGAAAGTATTGAGTACGAAAAACTTTATGAATCTCCTTAGTAATAGTAATGTGCTTAGCTGGGATGATTCTGCTGGTGAGGAGGCTTTTAATACTGCCAAAAAACGCTTTTGGGAAGAGATGAATGGCCTTTCATGTGAAACTGAACTCCCTAATCCAGATATGTACATTGATGAAATAGATTGGAACCCCTATATAGAACCAGATTTAATTAGGGAGGCAGATAAAGCATACTTCAATCCAGATGATAAATATTACTTACCTTCTGCTACTAGGTCAAAAGAACATAGTGGATGGCCTGTTGATGCCAATGATCATTGTGAACATGCTTATGTACAGAGTTGCACAGAGAAAAATAAAGGATCAGGCTGGGGCCAGTGGGATAATTCTGGTAATGTTGCTAGCACTGCGAATAAAGATGATGATCCTTCGGTGAGCCGTCAAATACATGATAATGGAGCTGTCAAGGATAAACCTACTGGTCGGAATCAGTGGGATAGCTCTGTTAGTCAGACAAGCAAGTTGAATACTGATAATGATCCTTGGGAAAGCCATTGCACTCGGGGGAATGAAGCTGTTAAAGATAATACTTGGGGAGGTGAATGGAATAAACCCTCGGGTTTCCAACCAAATAAACATCCTGATGTGTCTAACAATTGGGGTGCCAATGGTAATTCATGGAGAAAAGAAAGCTCTGGATGGCAAGATCAGGGAGCAAGTTCGAGGAGCTGGAATCAAGAGACAGGAAAGGTACCCTATTCCAGCTATTGGAGTGATAGAAATAGAAATAAACCTCAAGAATACAGCTCTTATCGGGGTAATAGAATGCAAAATGGTAGGAGCAACCAGTGGGGGCAGAAACCCAGCGACAAGTATAATTGGGGGCCGAAAGATTCCATTAATATCCATCGAGGCCAAGGACAGTTAAATGCAGGTTGCCGTAAAAGAGAAGGTCCTGATTACTATGTCGCCAACAACAAGGGCCCAAAGTTACAGGGGGATGGCCAATCATCTTGTCACTGGAATGGAAGTAACAATAGGAGGGGAAGTTTTGGAGGCTACTGATCTTAATTGGGCTTGTCTTAATTCTGGGTTCATTTCTAGTTCATTTTGTAACTAGCTCATTATATAATAGTAGGTCGATAGTATATATCTGGTTCTGGTGAATTAGTCATTCTATCCATGGATGGAGCGATGATGGGGCTTTAACTGAGCTTGTGACACCCTTTTTAAATGTGGTGTTTCTGTGATCTTGTATGCCATCCACATATTTTGGCATTTAGTTTAGAAGTAATGTGGAGTATGTAGTTTTAGATGAGGTGTTCTAGCATCACTGTGAATTTTTTTATATGAAGCCATGAAAGGCATCGTTGTTGCAACCAAACTGTACAAATTATCAGGAGATTTAAAATTTTTTTGGGCTATTGCTTTTCATCTCTTCACCAATTTCAGATCTGTTGTCAATTGCGCTTTAATTGTAGATTTGTGTGAAGTCATTTCTTTAGAATGTGCAGAGTATGTAGCCAATGTAATCCGACTAATCACTGTAAAATTGGAAGCATTGCATACGAGCACGTGCAGGTGGACGTGGTAACTGGTAAGCATGGTGCATTGTGTCTACTATCTACATAAGTCTTCTCTGGTGAATGACCATGACCATTACTTTCGCTTTGTTGCTTCCGATTTGCAATGCTCGTTCTGCCTCTCGAGTTAGTATTTTTTCCTATGGAGTATAATAGCACTTATTCAGTTTATTTGTAAAATATCTTTGGCAGCTTCTATGCTATTACTAGCTTATTTTTGCACATATTTATGGAAGGTTTTATATCAGGCTGCAGGTTCAGACCATGAAGTGCAGTATACTCTTACTACGTAATTTGTTGGCTCAGCTAAAAATGGCGGTGTGATCTGGTTTTGCCATTATATTGTTGACATATCTGAGGGGACGATTAACATCTTTTAAGCCCCTTAGATTTGGTGCATAAGTGGGAAGTCTCCAAGCGGTTTGCTACGAATTTTGAAGCTTGGCCAATTATCTCATACTCGATAAAATGCACAATTTTTTTTTTAAGTTAATGTAGGTTGCAATGTGTTACTCGTAGACAACAATGCTTAGTAGCAAATTAAAAAAGGGTGATCGATCATAAAGGATACATATTATTCTTCCTAATTGTGTACTCAAAGGAAACGATTTAAACACAACTAAAGCGGTATAGTGGAAATTCCTAGAAATCCGGACATTAGTTTTTGGATTATACGTCATCCCCTTCCTAATTTAGTACTCAAAGGAAACATTTTAAACATAACATGGTGTAGTGAAAAATCCTTAACATGTGGAATTTTGATGGCATTGGAAGAGCGTATGATTTATGTTGCTACTATATTGAGAATTCTAAGGGTCTGTTCTATTCAGCTTACTTTCAGTTCAGTTCAATTCAACTCCAATAAGTTCAATTCAGTTCTTAATTTTCTTTTCTCATAAAATATTCAGTTCAGTTCTAATAAGTTCAGTTTAGTCAATCAGAACAAACCTTTAGTTTTGAACTTATTAGGAAGGGTGCAAATGTCATGTGATCAATTTTCCATAAAACTAATGAGGTGCGTTTAATTGAGTTGATAACTAAGAGATTATCACCTTAATTGCGATGGTCTTTATCTTGTGCTAGAAAAATGCATTTATTGTGGCCTATGCCATGAAAATCTCTTGTAATGCTAAGATTGAAGATGTGTGCTTTAACTAGTAGTCCATTGCTACCTTTGATGATGATTTATGCTGCTATCGTATTGAGAAGTATGAGAACCAAACCATTAATATTAATTTGGTAGAAATTGGCATTATAATGTTTGATAAAGAATGAGGAGGTGGAGGGATCTCTTACATTAAACAAAGTACCAAATCAATGACTCGTGGCCCAACATATAAAGGGATAGAATTTATCCACGAGATAGGGAGATTATTAGATTTATTGGTTTGTACCATTTCAATTAAAGAAATAACTGACGGGAGAGCATTTCTATACTAAAGATCTGTGGAGCAAATGCCTTGCAAAATGATAAAATTGACGAAATAAAGAGAATTGTACCAAGTTGTTTTAATCATGAGGAAGCCTTAGTTTATAAATGGTAAATAAATCGATAATTTTGTCCAATTAGTATGTCATTTTTGTTAATAAATAAACAATAGTGGGACTCATATGTTGTTTATTGGAGATAAATTTGTACTTCGTATTTTCTCTTTAGTCATACCATACATGAAATGTATTTAAAACAATCCTTTCAGCTAGCTCTCATAAGTCATAATCAAGGAAGTCATGTTCATATTCATATTTAGGCAACAATACCTCCTTATGTCCACCTCAGTAGCAAAATTTGAGACATTCAACAAAAATATTAAATATGGAATTCCAAATTACTGACTCATTTGTCAGCACAACACAAGGATTGTTCACAAGTCACTGTTGAGCCCAGGTCACCCACCTTTACGGGTTGTATACACACTCCACTCCACATTAGTATGATATTGTCCGCTTTAGACCTAGCTGCATAAATTTGTTTTTGGACATCTTTCCAAAAAGCCTCATACTATTTTGTTGGAGTATGCACTTACTTATAAGGAAGTCATCTCTTTCTTATTTCTTCCATGTGGAACTTGGGATGAACTACACTAACAGCCACAACCATTGCAAGGTAAAAAAAATCACAATCACAAAAAAGTACAAACATTAAATAAAAGAATGAGTAATCTCTCATTCACAAGAAAAGGAAAATACACATTGATCACCATCTACATGATCACTAGATAAGTCCTAGATCACATAAATAAAGAAAGAGTACTCGATCTCATTCATTTTCCAATGAAAGGGAAACATTAATACTCGAGCTACTTGGTCAAGGGTTACTTTTTTTTTTATCCATGGTCAAGGATTACTTGAGGGGTTCGATCAGGGGTTAGTTAATACTCGGTCATGGGTTACTTAAGAGGTTACTCGGTCGAGAGTTAATCGAGGGATTACTCAGTCATGAGTTATTCGGTTAGGGTTTATTTGAGGGGTTTGGTCATTGGTTAATTGAGGGGTACTCGATCAGGTTCTACTCGAGGGCCATGGTTACTCGATCAGGGGTGACTCAAGGGGTTACTCGGTCATGAAATACTTGAGCTAATCTGTCAGGATTTAATTTAGGGGTTGCTTAAGGGGTTTTGTTAGGGGTTACTCAGTTATGGGTTACTTCAGGGGTTCAGATAGGGGTTACTCGGTCATGGGCTACTCGAGGGGTTATTCGGTCAGGGGTTACTCAATCAGGGATTACTCGAGTTACTTGGTTAGGGATTAACTCGAGGGTTCGGTCAGGGGTTACGAGTTACTCGGTTAGGGATTATTTAAGGTGTTACTCGGTCAGAAGTAAGCAAGTAACTCAAGTAATATAACCCCTAACCGAGTAACTCGAGTAACCCGCCACACAATGTTACCAACCACAAAGGAAAAATCTCCCATTTAAAAATGAGTTGGCCAGTGACGCAAGTAGAAATGAGTGCAAAAATATGACTTAATGTGGGTATGGATTATTAGTTCATTGAGTTGAATTATTTTTTAAATCTTTCCATACAATTTAAGAATAAAAAAAGGTTGTTTTCAAGAAGTACTTCGTATATCATTATTTTGAGGGTTAAAAATATATGATTAAGACATATTTATAAGTAAATTCATAATTACTCAATAAATCATTTTATTTTAAAAGTTTATGAAATGAATATGACTATCAAGATTTGTAAGCCGTGTATCGCACTGGTGCTATACTAGTTATGAGAAGTATTTAATGAATCTCAGTAATCAATTAAGTCCCTTGTTCTTTTCATCTTATGTTCACTTATTTTAGGAAAAATTGTTTCACACAAGTTTTTATTAGGGTTGGTAAGCTCTAAATAGTTCAAGAAAATAAGTTATAATAAAGGCATGTTCACATTTAATGAACCGAACTGAACTAAACAGATTGGAGTTAAACTGAACTAAACTAAAGTAAACTGAGCTAAAATGAATATTTTATGAGAGGGAAATTAGGAGTCGAACTGAACTGATTGGAGCTGACTGAATTGAACTGATTGAAGCTGAGCTGAAATGAACTGAACTGATTAGAGCTGAACTGAACTGAACTGATTGGAGCTGAGCTGAACTGAACTGAAATTAGGTAAATGTGAACAGGCCATAAGATAAGATAGGATTAAATAAGTAAAATTCAAGTTTCCCTCCGCTTAAAAAAAGAAGAAGAAGAAGAAGTTTGTATCTGTTATGATAATATCTAAATACGGATGACTATTATCCCATGTACAATCTAGAATATTCTAGAGTTGGGTATTTGGTCTTATCCATTGATGGATCCCTAGGTAATGTACACTATATATATCCCGTACTAGATGGAATATGAAATACAACGTAACAATCTTCCCTAATCTCTCTATATTTTCTCTTCCATATTTAACACGTTATTAGCACCATTGCTAGTCAACTGAGTAGGATTACCAAACATTTATCTAGAATCCCATATTATTATTATCATGTAAGTATGATCGCAGCCCATAACAATTATATTTTAACATTTATCTACTTTTGCATGCTTATTTATTGGAATATCAACATATATAACGAATACAGAGCATGATATATAATATAACTTAAGGTTCCATTCTTATTTTTCTCCATGCTAACGTTATCATCTTCTATTTCGTTCTTATTTATGCATGATTTGTATCAGGTTTATTTATGCATGATTATAACGTTAAGTACATATTTTGGATACTATTTATATATACTTATTTTTAAGGAAATTTTAGAAAATAACACCACAAAAAAACCCAAATTTTGATTATAACACCACAACAATTTTTTTTTCATTATAACACCACATAAAAATCCTAAAATTTGATTTCACCACCACTTAACAGATTCGTAGATGAAATCCGTTAGTGGAGCCCATAACAGACACGTGTCAATAACTTATTGGTTTTAAAAAAATTATAATAAAAAAAGAAAAATAAAAAATAAAAAACCCTAAACAACATAACCCAGCCCACTACACCACCGGTAGCACCTCTGCACCTGTACGTCCCCCGCCACCAACAGCCTAACACCAGCCGTCGGCACCCCTGCCCCACCTAAACCAGCGAAACCCTCTCTTCCCCCTCCCCAAAAACCACCGTAGCTTCACCTTACCTCACAGCTCCAACAACACCAAGTCGAATTCGCACTTCCCAGCCACCAAAATAGCTACTAGCGGTTGAAATCGGCTACTTTAGGGTCGATTTTGACCACTTCGGCCCTAAACCGGCCGATTTCAACTAGAAGTGGTTGTTTTTAGTGGTAGCTAGGGTAAGGGGAGTTGCGGGCTAGGTTAATTGGTGCGTCTGGTGGACGATAGGATTTTCGGGGTTGGTTAAGAAGGATGGGGG